CTTTGCAGTGATCGAGAAATTCACCGAAAACACCCGCTTTTGCCTCATCTGCAACTACCTCTCCAAGATCATCCCCGCCCTGCAGTCCCGCTGCACGCGCTTCCGATTCGGACCCCTCACCACGGAGCTGATGGTGCCCCGGCTGCCGCACTACAGCAGGAGGGGTGAGCCGGGGGGGACAGCACGGGACAGGGGGGGGGTCGTGCCCCCCTTCTCCCCATTCCCCTGTGCAAGGAGGAGCAGCGGGTTTGCTTTTCCACGGTTATATTGCCCTCCGGCAGCCCCAGGTGTTGTCTTCCAGGGTGGATGTGACGGAGGACGGGATGAAGGCTCTGGTGACCCTCTCGAGCGGTGACATGCGCAGAGCCCTCAATATCTTGCAGGTTCGGAGCGTGGCCACGGCCGCTCTCCCCTTGTGCGAGCCGGCCCCACGCCGGCAGCTGCCCTGGCTAAGGGCCGAGCTCTTCATCCTTCCTCCACCCTCCTCTTCCTCAGAGCACCACAATGGCCTTCGGGAAGGTGACAGAGGAGAACGTCTACACCTGCACGGGACACCCCCTCAAGTCTGACATCGCCAACATCCTCGACTGGATGCTGAACCAGGACTTTTCCACCGCCTACCGCAGTATCCTTTTCCCTCCGCTGGCCCCGGCGTTTCATTCCCACCATTATAAACCCTCCCCTTTGCCGGGCCTTCCCGTCCTGCGACCTCCTGCTCCGGCTGGGGTGGGTGCTGCTCGCTGGGGAGGGCCCCCGGGGTTGTGGCGGGGGTGAGGAGTGGGAGCTCACAGGAAAAGGCCTGGAAGAAAGCTCTTGACTCGCTCTCATCTCAGAAATCACGGAGCTGAAGACGCTGAAGGGTTTGGCCCTGCAGGACATCCTCACCGAGATCCACCTGTTTGTGCACAGAGGTGGGGGCTCGCGGGGTCGGCTGCTGGCTCACCCTGGGGGGGCACAACCGTCCGTCTCCCCCCAGCCCGCACTGACGCACGCCATCTCCTTCTCTCCGCAGTTGATTTCCCACCCTCGGTCCGCATCCAGCTGCTG